CAAGCTGATTCCTAATGGTCAGTTCTCGACCATCAGATACCACAAAGCTGTCTGTCCCTGTTAGTGCCAACTTAGGAAACTTGAAACCTTCAAAGCGTACTCACAAGTCCGATATTGCTTTCTCAGCGACATGGCTGTCTCTGGTAAGAAATATCCCTCCTGGGTGCAAAGTGGCTCAATTTCTGATAATGTGATTCTGTCCAACAATGCAATGTCGTCAAAATGTTTTTAACAATTACGAACATATAGTTTTGTACTTAGATGCCGTCTCCAATTGATGGTTTCCTTTTAAAACACGATTTGGCAACTTTGGAAAGACATCTTACCAAAACTTGTTAAACTATAAAAAGATTTCTTCAAACAAGTTATCTGATACTTTATTGTATTTCGTCACGTACTGGGATTGAAAGGCTACAGCGGTATATTTAAACCTACATGGTTTCTGTCCGTCCATCCATCCATCCATCCATTCACGTAACACACTGTAAATATTTTGTACTGGTAAATAAAGCACGATAATAATTAATGAAATCTATCTGTCCCTACCTGTTACTTATTTTATTTTATAAAAAAGTCGTACACTACTCTGTAGACTATCAGTAACCTTCTTTAAAGTATGGGATATACAGTGTCCTACGTTATTTGCAATTTGCCTATCGCATTTTTCTAATAACTAGGCAGTCCGCATGACACGGAGTTGTAATTAGACCAAACTGTGGCAACAATTAAAACAGAGTCGATTGGTAGCTCACATCGCAAGAATAAGTTTGGACATCATTGCTGACTTTGTTATTTTTTTTTTCCAAATATGAGTGATCAAATTCTACGGTACATTTGAGCCGTAGTTATTAACTAAGCAACCTGCTGACCTCACCGCCCGTGTTGCGGCATGAAGAACACCTTTCCAGTTTTATTAAAGTAGTTCTTAGAAAGCGGTGCATTTCCTTGTTACTGTGAATATTTAATTCCTGACGCAAAAAATGGACGCACGTGTAAACCCCACAGAGCCGAAAATGTCTGTTTTAATAAATTTCAATAATATCTGTCTTCATTCCATCTTGCTCTCAGCACATAAACGTGTTTTTTATTCATTAAAATTTACTTTCACATTCACCTCGAAGCAGGACCTGTGTTATTCCATTTCACTTATCGAATTAAAGTATGGCACTAAAGTCCTGGTGAAAAGAAGAAAATACGTTCGTATCTTTAACTTAATTTACAGCCCGTGGGTGTTATGGGACGAAAAGAGTCGTGGCTTCTCTAACCTTGTTAAAAGTAACTTGTATAGGCCTATATTCCACCAGACACAGCCACCAACGTCGCCAAACCAAAGGTTAAAGTATCAAAGTGATTAGCAACTAAGCACCAAAATATAAAAAGTTACGTTTCAACGACACTGTTCAACATTATACAACCTCCTTTTTTGTAATGTCTTTTGTCATGGGAGGACTTAACAGCTGTAATTATTTACAATTTAACTATCAAGCAGGGAAAGCTAACGCCAGAGAATTATTACACAATCATGACGTCACAGCTTCGAAATGACGCCCAGGGGAATTCGCTCTGGGAAACACTACGGTCAACCACACACGTATTCATGATTGAGTTTGGGCAATGTTTTGTTTATGCCTCTTATTTCAGCATTAATTGTGACGAATCGCTTTCATAAACAGGATAGTCCATTAAGTCAGTTTCAGTAATGGAATTTATACATTACGTAAGATTCATGACTGGGCAAACGGCTCTTGGATCACCCTGTGATTTATAGACGACCACTGAGAAAAATTACGGCATATAGCGTTAACATTTATTAAGATGCATGCGATTTCGTATATTGAAAATACTTGCTGGAAAATATTTATAAACTACTATGAATTAACTACCTAACGGATATTATTTTGTGGAAGATGGAAGTACTTACGGGAAATCAGCTTCATTCTGATATGAAATAGATCAAAACAGCAAAATTACTGAGCCCGTACAAGTAAATTCGAAGACTAATGGCTGATTAATTAAAACGTAAACATTTCTGGTTACGTAGGTCAGGATCGAAACGTAATTCTACTAAAATCTAAAATCGGGCCATTTGAGCGAAGGAAAAAAACTTGGCCGTTATCTTATTCTGACAGGGTGCTATAATTTTTCTTAAAGTTCACGGTATAGTGCGGTATCAAAAAAAAGTCTCTGCGAAAAATATGGAAAGACACTTCGTTCTTCAAAGATCTAGCCCTATATTTTTGTCAAAATATTGTTGGGTGAGATCTCAGATTCCCACGAAAACGGGTATGAAGATGACTTCTAGAACGCACATACAAAATACTCATGCAATATGATGATTAATGTTAAAGAGGGAGAGAAACATTTGATACACGCACACTGCAGAAGATCAAAATAAAATTAAACAACGTAGCACGTAGTTGTAGTACATAACACCACACTACAGAACTGCATCCGTGGCGTGAAAGAGGGGAGGGAGTGAAATAAGTTGCAACGGACATAGCAGAGCCATCTGTTTGACAAAGCAGTAATTCGATACAACTCACACAAAAGAACGATGCCATTTCTAGAACATTCTTACGTACGAAATACAACCCCAGCAATTTTATAACAATCATTTACGTCACTGGCACACAGAAGACAGCTTTATATGCGTCTCAGAAGATAAAGAAATGAGAAAATAATACAGCATCCATACACACAAGACACAATTACAAAAACAGGGGCGAAATTAACACGACGTTCTTGTGTTTTTTTACGCGCATCCGTTAATGTATCTGCCCCCCCTTCCCTGGCGTAAACTGCGATATACGTGATACAAACATCCCTTGAGTAATTCTAGAACCGAAAGGAGAATTTTTATTCTGTTATTATCCGCAATCTTATTGACACTAACAATACATTGTACAAAATTATAAATTCACTTTTACAACATGCGCATGTAATAAATGTAACTACTCCATTTTCGTATGTCAGTGTCGGAGAAAGAAACTTAATACACCGACCTTGGAATAAATATGAAGAAATATATTCACGTCTATGAAAAATTTTATGAACAAATGACACCAGATCAATTACTTACGTCAGAAAAGAAAATCTACTTACTTCAGGAAATAGAATTATGAAGAAATTATGCATCGTGTACAGTAAGTACATTCACAAGAAAAGGTTGTTAAAATGACGCACAAAAAGAAATGATGCTCTAACGTGCCACCTTAACCCATTCTGGTTGCAACGGACATAAGAGACATCTTTGCGGTAATTCTAGAAGCGAAGGTGATAACTGGCATTTAACCGTGACTGGTGATATCAAAAATAGTACTGCATAATGAAGTTAATTGCGTAATGTGGTCCAGTTTTAATTATTCTTGGCTCATTATTAATCTTTTATTTGATGGTGTCATAGGATTTGATTCCAATTAAAGATTTATATAATAATTGAATTGGGTAGGTAAAGACCAGAAACATATTTATTGCACAATATTACTACGTACAGGTACACTGGATCGCACACAATACGCAAAAGCCTGTATTCACAAACAAATTAATAGCAGATTACATTCTGGGAATGTTTGCTAACATGCAGTTCAGAATATTTTAACTGCTAACCAAAACCTTAAATGCTAAAATACATATAATTATAATTCACTTTTTGTCTTTATGGGTGTAACGTTCGTCTCTTACATTACGATATTATGCCTGAGAACAGAGTACTGAGGAAAACGTAGGGACCTTAAAGAAGGTAAAAAGTGCATAATATAGACGTTACAGTCTTCATCGATAGCCATTAGGATAATCAGATTAATAAGGGTGGCATGGTACGGACATGCAGTACATATTAGAAAGATGCAGAAATCCTAAAAGGAAAAAAAAACCCTAGGAAGACCAGGGATGGGAATTTTATCTTTAAATGGCCTTACGTTGACTATTTAACAGATTGTTTTGTCGCCATAAGCTCAAATAATGTAAATAATCCTCGACTGTTAGAACGGTTAGAACGCTGGCCTTGTAATCCTGGGGTCTCGGGTTCGATTCCCGGCGGTGCCAGAATTTATAACTTGTGTTGGGCAAGGCCGTGGTCTAGGCAACACGGAGTTTTCCTCCGGGGGCTTCTCCGGTTTCTCCGTGGCATCCCAACAATTACTCCATTCACACACAGAAGAAGGCAATGGCAAACCACTTCTGGATCATCTGCCAAGAACGTATATGAACAGGTCCCAGTCCGAGAAAAGGATGGAAAAATCCTGTTCATATGGACCTGTCGTCAGACAGAACACTTAATAAAAATAACCTGTCCCCATAATATTTTTAAGGCTCGGAACTTTAACTGGTCTTCATGATCTACTATTAGTAACAAATGTAAAACTGTAATAACGCTCAATGAAATGAAATCTACGATTCAGGGTTCTGAAACGAAAACTATGGCACTGATTTAACGCAAGTCACCATTACCTTGTGTTCGGTATGCACTTGAGATTTATAGCCATTAAGTATAATGTATTCCATACGAGTATGCAAGCTTCCGAAACATGTCATAAAATAGGATCTACTCGTATACACAGATACGGCAGCATAATTGTGTTATTTTATGTGTGGCGACATTTTATGAAGTTGAAAAGTCATGCAGGTTTAATTGAGAACATGATTACTAAATATTTTATATAGAAAGCACGTAAAGTGAGCCCTATTGAATTGGTCATTTCATAAACAGAAACACAAATTGCAATTACTACCGGGTGTCCTCTTTCTAATAGGAAATAACTGCATGTTGGTGCTGAGTTTCACTTCCAAGAATTTTTGTACATAACGTGATTAACGCCTATTCCTAACGTAATCACTTTTTTGATTTATGTAATAATTTTATTTCTCTAAAATATATATACTATAAATACAGGTGTCCCTAAAAGATGTATACACATATAATATGGAATATCAACCATGTGTGTATACATCTTTTTGAGACAACTTGTAAAGACTGTATTTTGGAATGGTACCATACTCACATGTATTATTTCTTCTCTTCTCTACGATAGTGCTTCCAAATATGAGTGAAGCATTGCGCTTGTGGCTGCTACGTTGGAATATTTGATAAACGCGAGCAGTGTTCGTTTGGCATAAGCAAAATTATCCATTCTGTTGAAAAACACTAATTAAACTTCAAGAAATCACCAACACCTGTTTTCTTTGGATAGCACAGTACTGCACTCCAAATCACCACGTGCACTAGCCATGCGACTGCGTAGTGGCTGTTCCTTCTACCGTACGCTATCCCGCTAATTATAAAATAAAAATACATTATATTGAATGAAATTTAAACATTTAAATAAACTCTTCACACTAGTAATGTACCACAAATTGCTTAAAGTACATTATTACGAATCACAGCAGCAACTCTCGGTTTTGTAAATGAAAACATATCCATAAGGGGTGACAGATATGGAAGTAAAAGCTCATAAGGACACGTGCTTCACTCGTATATCTGGATTGTTTATAAGGGAAACTGCATGCTTGTATGTGAATCTTATTTCTTCTTGCTCCACTATAACAGACTTTCACAGATTTCCTTTTGAAATTCTTTGACACACCCGTATTTCGGTTCATGTTATTGTTACACTGACTGCAGCAATGTTTCTCAACAGGTGTTCCGCGGACCACCGTTGTTCACATGTAAATTGTTTGTTTTTCGTTTACTTTTATTTACCGAATGCATTATGTTAAACATTATTGTTTTCTTCCTTTCCTTTTATACTATTTAATAATAGGGCTGCCTGGGCGATAAGAGCGGACATAAAAGTCTGGTGGTCACTCGCTGCTTAACTCGCAAATTGTAAGGCCGATCTACGTTTAAAACTGCAGCGCAGACAAAGATACGTGTCTGACAATTTAAATTAATTAACTTTTCTTAATTTCACTTCTAGCACCACACCACGTAAAGACACTAATCTTATACTGTAAATAAATATGTTTACACAGACTAAAAACGGCAGAGATCGGAGAATCAAACGGCACTAGTTTGGAGAATGCATTACACTTTGTGACGCAACTCCGCACGATGTAGTTTTAACGTTGGACTGGAGGGCGATGATGCCTTCCCATTGGTTACTGTCATATCTGACCACCAGAAAACTTACCTGAACGCAATGGAGTGACGTAATGCACTGCAGCGGTTAAATGGGTTAGCGTTCCTTTCAACCTATATTCTTCGTTTATGAAAAACGTGGAAAATTCTATTCGGGATAAGCCTATCTTTTAGTCAATCGAACTGTTTACCTGTCAAACAAAACTGAAGAGACCATTATAGTGGCCACAGAACAGCCGTGATATAAGACCCCTATACTAGATGTGTAGAGGCCTCAGTACCAGGATATTATAATACCAAAATATGAGCCGCGAACATAGATTACAGGGGCCTCGACCACGTGCTATTATATCTACTATATAGGTGCCATATCAGATGACCACTACGAAGGCCATATAGGCCTCGATTCCATCCTATTACAATGCCTTTGAAGGGCCTCCATTCTTTACTGTTATATTGCCCATAAGGGAGCTCGATCATATACCGAGACTATGATTATATCGGGTTTTCATTCACAGATCATTATAATGGCTATGTATGGGCTTCCATCATAGACCATTACTATGAACATTTCAGGGCCTTATAACATGGACCATTTAATGCCTATATATGGGCCTCTTTCCCAGACCACCGTAATAACTATGTAGATGCCTCAGTCCAAGTCTGTTATAATGCATAAATAGGAGTTCATATGAGCCCAAGCCACAAACATGGCTAACATTCTGGTCACTATAAGCAGATGCCACAGAAGACATTCAAAGGTCTACAATTCTGATAATTATATAGTCTATGATATGAGGCTTATAGAGGACTATCATACTATTTATAATACTGAGAACTTTATGAGCCATATATGGGGCTACAGTTCTGGCTTTTAAACCAACCATATCGAGGTCATGATTTTGTCAAGATATAGTTTGCTGTTGGGACCACAAAGATTATCATTCTGGTCATGACAGGGGCTACATTATCATCAATATTACCTTTATCAGTAGATCTACAGTCCCTGAAGGACCTTGGCCTCCTCGCACATGGATGTTTCTTAATCTTTTGTGACATATGGTAGGACTCCTCCGACAAGCAATATAGAAGGTTTTAATTCTGGTCAAAATGAAGGGTAAATTGTTTGCATAATTTTTTAGACTACTTTATGAGCCATATATAGGCCTGTGATTTTGTTATTACACAGTCTACAATATTAGTCATACAGAGGACAACAATCCTTGACATTATACACCAATATATCTGGCATGTAGATCTGCAGATTTTAACACCAAATACCTAAATGATAAAATTACATTATTTTGGCTGTTTATGTAACCACAAGATTTATTTTTGTCCAACATAGATCCCATACAACGTAATTTTGTTACAGTATTGAAAATCATTGCTTTACATGGCACTGCGTTGTCAGGATACTTCCTACAAAACTTTCTATAGTATTTCCTCCATGAATAACACTGTACAAATCTATTGTATATAAATAATTTCTGTTTACTTCATTTTCATAACACTGCAAACCGTACTGGTACACATCTCAAGGACAACTAACCTAACCTAAAAACACAGCGCTATCAAGATACACCAGCAAGTATCGAGTGACAAAGAGACGGTCCGGCGGCCAGCAGGGGGCATGCGTGGAAGAACAGTTTTCTTGCCAGCCTGTCAAGGGACAAATAGGATTCTCTGTACTTTAATGTACATAATACAATCTTTACTCATAAATATGCATATTTATCATACGCTTCACAATTCAGAATATTTATTATCTCATTATATAGTAAACAACCCCTGAAATGATACAGCACTATCATAGAAACACTTTGAGGTGATTATCTGAGTAAACATCCCTTGAGACTTGATTCAAGCTTTGCAATCATGTCATGTAAAGTTGTCCCTAGTACTTAATTAAACACCATGCCAATAAGACATATGGGGTAGGAAAGGTACAGCTCCATGCATTCTTAACCTTGGCACTAAATGGAGGTGAGGCGTTGACTTTATCGCCTGGCCGTGTATCCTTGGGGAAAGAACTCATTGGCTGGGTAGGTGGGTGGACCTGACATCGACAATGAATGCGGTGGCAAAGAAAGGACTCCGCCCTTGCAGTCTCCAGTCACTGATTTCACACCTCTTTAAATTTACTGACAGGTTACAGCACTGCTTCCCAAACATTTTCCTTCATTACCCAAAACTGCTTATCAGAAAGTACTTTTTACCCAATGTAGGTAAAACATTAACTGCACAGAAAACATGTATGACAAGTGAAAAGAGGAATCAAACAAAAAGTTTGATGCAATGTCTTTATTTTAAACATCTCTAAACATTTTAGCAGCCACAAAAAATTTGGTAATTATTCAGCATGAATATTTCATCACCCAGGTCCCAGCTAATGAGTACAATGCCACTGCTCCAACTTATTTACTAGATCCGCAAAATTGGGAGCAATTGGAGACACAGCACACCTCACATCGTATTCGGAGTTCAGAAAACAGTTTCGTTTTGTGCTCTTTATGAAGGCAAGAGTGGAAAATCCTACGTCACACACGTAGGTGCTCGGAAACTGCAATAATTGCATCACGGCCTCCCCAGCAACCACAGGATATTCATCGTGAATTGTTAACCAGAACGACTCCAAATGGCCCTTTTTTTCTTCAAATAACATTTTGCTCTGACTGCTTGACCTAAGTTCAACCTTTTTTCTGCAAAACCATTAACATTATCGGGGATTTCAGTCAAGTCACACAGAAATGGGTGTGTCATTACCCAAAGAAAAACCACTTTTACCAACTTTTGGGTAATTTACCCAGGTTTCAGAAGCACTGGGTTACAGCAAAAAACATTAAATGGTCTTTTCATAAATCTACATATGATCATCAGGATTTGTATAACAGGTACTTCAGACATATGCAATAAAGTATATTTAGAACCAGTATGTCATCTTCATGGCACCTGATGTGTCAACTGGAGTCTCCATCATGCTGGACTGACGGACAAGTCGAGGCATCCTGGTGGACGCTCTGCGGGAAGAGTCCTTACTATGTGGCACCACCTCATCTTGAGTTTTGTTCTCAGGCTCTGCAGATTTTTGTAATGACAACTCCAATGAGTCTTTGTCATTACTCAGGTCCTCGTACGATCCGGCCACAGGAGAATGTCTATACAAAAACATGGTGAATCAGCAATGCACCAGCATTTAATTACTGTTGTATAAAGGTTATTCGTGTTAAAACTCCTATTAAATGACTCCTCATGGCACCATTGATGACCTGGGCCTAGCAGATTTAGAAACACGGCTGCAGAATATGTATCGCATGTTGCCTGTGTCTGCCTCCATTGATAATTGTGAAAAAATTCAATTTTCATTTCATTCCGTCAGTATACCGAGTGACTACAGACTGGAAGACCGAGGCTCGATCCTTGACAGAGGCAGAGGAATTTTCCTCTAGCCTCTGCATCGAGACCGGCTCTGGTGCACACCCAGCCCTCTATCCAATGGGCACTGGGGTCCTTTCCCAGGGGTCAAGCATTGCCAGGGCATGTTCCTTACCACTCATCCCCTTCTAGTGCCAAGCCTGAGAATGTGTAGGAGCTATGCCTCCTCTCCCCACCCCAAGCATGTACATGGAGTGTAGTGGGACAACTTTATCACTGAATGTTTCAGTTAATTACTCAAGACAGTCCTAATAACAGGTGATCCAGCTACATTAAACAGCCAAGGGACATACTAATAGCATCCAAAAATAAATGTGAATTAAAGGATTATAAGCCAGTTTTAAAGACAGATGAGTACGTAGCAAAATAAAACCAAACTTTTGTTAATTTACAATCAAACTGTACCGTCTAACTGTCTAATGACAGTCTGATCTTCCATTTGAATAACAGTCTTTTCATAGACTCTCTGAACATGATCTGATTAAAATTGCATCACTGAAACTTTTCCATTCAATCTGAAGAACTGAGATTTAGTATAAAAATACAGAGAAGGAGCAATAACATTAACATGGAACTAAGAGAAATAAATTTTGATGATCTGAATTAGACTTATCTTCTGCAGAATATATGGTCCAATAGATGGTTATGTGACAACGGTGGTCATTATAAATACCCAGATTTTATAACAGGATACGGCTTGTACAATGACTACTGTACTTGCGATTACAAATATGACTATCATGTAAAATAGTGGAATGTAATTAAAATACAAAGAAAAATAAGAAATCAATACTTTACCTGACAGGGATGCAATGCAAACACTCAGCAAAGGTCCAGTCTTTACCAAATTCCTCTCCCTCTTCCACAGTTTGTGGCAAGCGATGATGCAGAGTTTCTGGTAGACGCAGCCCTGACAACCCGCCCACAACCGACACCACACCCAGAATCACCAACGGTAACACCAGAAGTTCTGTTCCCTACAACAAGTTGAATGACAAAGAGAGTATCGCTTAAAACGCAATCCGACAATAGCAACGCATTATGATACAACACTGTAATCAGAATGCACGTCTGCCCCATTGTAACTCTTTACTACAGCCTCTTATATCAGATGGCCAGAAATTATTTTCGTTGTATTTCATTCACCTATGAATTTAAGTTAATCAGAAGAACCGTACTCACCAGATACGTAACAAATGGTATGACGACGAGACCAAGGCCGGCAATGTACGCAGACATCCCGATACCAATACCTCTCAGCTGCGTGGGATAAAGTTCTCCAGCAAACGGGTAAATAATGAGAAAAGATGCCGAGATGAAGAATTTGGAGAGCAGGAACAGTAAAAGCGTCTCAATAACAGCATCTACAGATGAAATTTCTATGCTGCATTAATAACAATCAAAGGAAGAGACCACATGGCATGCTTAGGTATAGATCGATAAACAATATCAAAAAATGCATCTTAGAGAAACAGTGTGTGATGTTGTAGAATGGATTTAACTGACTCATGACAGGTCCTGCAATGGATTGTTATAAACATGGCAACTACCTTTTGGAGTTCCATGCACAGAACAGAATAGCTTGACTAGCTAAGTTGCTATCAGCTTGTGAAGAATGTCTTTGTTTCATTGGCTTAGTTGCTTAGTTAGTTAGTCATGGCAATTTCAATGAACTGCTGGGAAAATATTAGATTTGACACAGAATAATCCTGGATGAAGATGTGCTTTAGTGATTTCTTTTATCTAATGAAAAGAAAAAAACATTCTACTTCATGGCATACAAAACCATTCCAGCTAGTAAAAGAACTTGCCACAGAGAGCAAGTTCCCATCTAAATCTTCACAGTAGTTAATGTGTCGAAGTAATAGCATTTAAAGTATAACATATCTATTTTTAAAATACTAGTTAACAAAAATAAATGAACAACACTGGGATACTGGGAACGACCCATTCTTCAAGTGCCTGAGCACTGCGGGTATCAACTTTTCGTTGGCTTGATCTATAGACATTTTGGTGGGACTCCTTGGACGAGGGATCGGCCCGTAGCAAGGCCTCTACCTGTACACAGGACAGCACAAAAAACGCGGACAAACATCCATGGCTTGAGTGGGATTCAAACCCACGGTCCCAGTGACCAAGCGGCACAAGGCCCATGCCTCAGACCGTGCAGCCACTGCGAACCCCTAAATGAACAACACTGCAGTCATATTTACATTTAGGCAGATCAATGTACAAAAGTGCTAAAATTTTACATTCATTAATTCAAACACTAGATACCTAATTACAATATTTTATTTGTATCTGTACTGAAGACAGTACAGTGAATTATTAATATATAGGAAATTAATGTATAAAACACTGTAAAAATTTTAAAAACTTGGTTACGTAAAAAGTAAGATTGATCTGTGTATAGATGTCAGATGAAGGATTAAGAATGTCGGAACATTATGGCATTTTGTGGAATGGTTGAATACATAAAGAAAGAATTGTGCAGAATATGAAAACAAGAAACGTTTCATGATATAATTCTCAGAAAAATGGGTAAACCAAAAGAAACAGAAATAAATTTTACTAAAATGCTGTCGAGAATACAAGAGTTTCAGCGCAAATTATTTCATCTCATTAGCCAAAATACTAATTACCTTCTGATAGCAAGACAGTGATGATGCAGCTAACTCCGCTCAGGATCATGCACACACAGAGTGGCCAGCGCCGACCCCAACGATCCATTACCACCCAACATATCAGGTAGCTGGGGATCTCCACAAGTGAGGACAGCAAGAAGCTTATATAATGGTCACTGCCCAGTACTGGCCCATAGTAACTTAGACCCACATACACAGTCTCATTAGCAAACCTGCAATGAATCATACATGATATTACCAGAAACTAAAACAAAAGAGGGATTGTGAAGCACGTGTATCTTTCAAAAAAGTCTCGTGAATACGACTCAGTTATCTGAATAACATGATTATTTTTAACACTATCACCACTGCCTGACGTAGAATCTATTATGATCAACCCCTAAATGAACAACACTGCAGTCATATTTACATTTAGGCAGATCAATGTACAAAAGTGCTAAAATTTTACATTCATTAATTCAAACACTAGATACCTAATTACAATATTTTATTTGTATCTGTACTGAAGACAGTACAGTGAATTATTAATATATAGGAAATTAATGTATAAAACACTGTAAAAATTTTAAAAACTTGGTTACGTAAAAAGTAAGATTGATCTGTGTATAGATGTCAGATGAAGGATTAAGAATGTCGGAACATTATGGCATTTTGTGGAATGGTTGAATACATAAAGAAAGAATTGTGCAGAATATGAAAACAAGAAACGTTTCATGATATAATTCTCAGAAAAATGGGTAAACCAAAAGAAACAGAAATAAATTTTACTAAAATGCTGTCGAGAATACAAGAGTTTCAGCGCAAATTATTTCATCTCATTAGCCAAAATACTAATTACCTTCTGATAGCAAGACAGTGATGATGCAGCTAACTCCGCTCAGGATCATGCACACACAGAGTGGCCAGCGCCGACCCCAACGATCCATTACCACCCAACATATCAGGTAGCTGGGGATCTCCACAAGTGAGGACAGCAAGAAGCTTATATAATGGTCACTGCCCAGTACTGGCCCATAGTAACTTAGACCCACATACACAGTCTCATTAGCAAACCTGCAATGAATCATACATGATATTACCAGAAACTAAAACAAAAGAGGGATTGTGAAGCACGTGTATCTTTCAAAAAAGTCTCGTGAATACGACTCAGTTATCTGAATAACATGATTATTTTTAACACTATCACCACTGCCTGACGTAGAATCTATTATGATCTGAATGTGACTGGCTGTCATTAAATTTGTAATAAGGAAACAATCAGACATCATGTTCAGACTTCAAGGTAAATTTCATACTGAAAACCAAACATTAAATAATGCACCAGTTAAGAGTGATGAGTGCTGTCTTCAGACGCATGTTCGGAGTGCGGCACAAGGCCATCGCGCCAGGACCTTTCTTCAATCTTGCCTCCTCACTGTGGGTACGCTGCAACATCATGCGTTGCTGGAATGAAGCGTTATACAATTATGCAGGAATTGTTTGTACTTTCAGTAGAACCTATCAAAATCAGAACCTGAATTAATCATAACGTCTCTTTATGAGAACATTTTATAGTTCTGAATATACGAAATGAAAAGATGTACAATTACCTCTAAAACTGTTCGACATGGAAACAGAAGTGTAAATAAGAATATAAAAGAAAACAATCAGCAGGGGAAATTTAAAATGTCTATTGCTCAACAATAGTCTAGTATAAATACCCAAATAAATGAATATATAAAGTACAATATTTTTACCAGTCAGTAAAGAAAATACCTGTTAAATGGAAACAAGTACAAAGCATAAAAATTTTCATTTCACTTCAGATCCAATATTGCGCAAGTTTCACTATACTAACTCCCTTTATTATTTCTTTTATAAGCATATTCATAAAATTAATAACCTCAACATGTCTGTTGTCATAAAGTAGTTTTGTTCTGGTAAAATGAAATTCAGTAAAAAAACATGGTTACAAAATAAAAGTCTAGGCTATGCGTCTACTGCCACTGAATTCTTTTAGCACAGTGCACAACTAAATTTAACCAGAGGAACATACTCTCACCATCTCCCAGAAATGACATCAACCCTAAAGATGGAAGAAGCACATTCCTCCAAAATCTGATTTTGTACCAGAAGACTTCATGATCAAACAACCCAGAAGACCACAATGAAAGTTTGATAATACAATATAATTTAGCCACTTAAAAAATTCACAATCTTTTTCCAAATTTTTTCCCCATTAATGATTATCATTTAAGAATTGGGGACTTGCACTTCCATACTACACAACTACGTGTCAAATTTTAATTCTGGGGTTAACAGTTTATCATTATGTTAGTGTGATATGCATATGCCATGTTGCATAACTGATAGAAATTAAATATTTTCCACGGTGACATGAAACATTTAAGACTCTAAGTGTTTACATTTTTTAGACATAAATACGTTACAAAGATTTGAAAACTGGGAAAATATTTAATAGAATTAGTCAAGAGCTGAGAAAAATAAATCACATATTTCTTCTGCTTTTACTTTTCTCTATTCCTCTAATACCAATATGTTTTGCTAAGGTTCATACATGACTATTCATCTTTTATTCATGTGTAATACCAACATTACACAGTATGAAACAACGACAGCGTCATTAAATAAATCACAAATAATATAAAAAATCAAGTACCTTGAGTTTCAGTTTGAAGCTTGGTGGTAGCTCATTTTTATTTACCCTTGCCAAGGTTTCAAGGATTTGTGACCCTTCTTCAAAGCGGCCTTTAGCAAGCAACCATCTTGGAGATTCTGGAAGGAACCTGCAATTGTAAATTAATATTGGACAGGATCATATCTCAATGTTATACTTTACTATGGTGAATCCAGCATTCTAAATAGACAGTGATGGTGGAAGCAATTCATGGTCATTTGTTTTGAACAGACTTTGCCTGGTTTTATCTCTTCTTAACGCACGTCGTAGGTCCACTATAATACCAAATAAAAAATTAACTTTCTGGGAGAACACAGAACAATTTAATCCCTTTCCATACCAAAAGCACCAGGCTCTTTTCTAAACTCTACAGATATTTTTAAAGCAGCATTTGAACTACACAATCTTAGAATTGAAAACTAAAGAGTCATTCTACATGTAGATGAAATTGTTTTGACTGATTTATTTATGATTAATCTGTACTGACAAAAAAAAATTCCAGTTCTAACAGCAAACGTAGGATTTAAATGCCCTATTCTTCTTTTTCTTCTTCTTCTTCTTCTTCTATGGCTCTCCGGTCCATATTCGGTCCATGGTCTCCTAAATTCTCCTCTTCCATCAGGTCCTCTGCTAGGTCCGTCTGTCCGAGGCTTTGATTGAGGTTTCGAGACATCTTCTTTTTTACGGTGCAAGGTTGTTAGCCTTGCGACCAACCACCAACCTGGAGCACCAGGGTACCTGTCTTAGTCTGACCTATATTCCAGGAAAAATACGTATTTTGCCTTAGCTGCTGATTGACTCACCACCAGTATATGAAGTATAACAGAAAAGGGGCAGAGGTAACGAGTGTCAGGATAACCCAATTCCGCACCATATACGTCACTCCAGCCAATAAAATGAGGCCTGCCGAGTAGAACAGACAGGTCATCACTGTTACAAATGAACGGTAGTTAAGGCCCACAAGTTCCAATGCTGCAAAAATATATAACGTGTTAATGAATTAATGAATGAATCTTCACCTCTTCTTAGCGCTCAAATTGATACAAGTTTCACTTACAAATGATGAATGGAATTTGGTAGATTGCAGGCACTGTAAGCCCTACTATGAATCTCAATGTGGCCCATAGCCAGAAATCTGGAGCAGCTGCAGACAGTAAGTTCCCAATTATCAAGACGACCAAACACGTGAAGAAAGACAGACGTCGCCCAAACCTGAACATGTGAGGATTAACTTAATTCATATCTAAGCTGCTATTATGATCCAATTAGACTTATTAACATTCTGAACCTGTTAAATATTTAAATTTCCCGCAATGATGTGCCCAAAAGTTAAATAGTAGCAAGCACATATTTAAATGTCATCATAAATTGCCATTTATATATCTAGACCTAAAATGAATAAAGTGACAAGAAAATGGAGACAACTACAGAGTGAGAAGCTTCATAATCTGTGCACTTCAATAACAATGTTAGGATAACCAAATCAAGGAGCACTAGAGGGCACATGGAGCATCCATTCGGTCCTCTGTTAGGTCCATCTGTGATTGAGGTTTCGAAACATTTTTCTTTTTAGGGTGCAAGGTCGTTAGCTTTGTGACCAACCCCCAACCTGGAGGACCAGGGTACCTCTCTTAGTCTGACCTCTCCCCCTCGACCAATCTGGCAAGGGAGGCCCTACCAGTAGCTATGCTACCGCCCACATAGCTCTTGGGGTCACTGAGGTACTCAAGCCCCACCACCACGACAAGGTGCAGGTGCCATTAAGTGGGTTTTACTCCACATAGCAACCTATAATTACGACAGATTCTAGTCTTTGAAAATGAGAGGAGCTTGCAAACTTCTTTAAAATAAAACCCAGATAAAAAATTGTATGAGTGACAAACAGAATATTCACTTACCCGTCTTTAAAGATGTCTGTAGAGTTTAGAAAAGAGCCTGGTGCTTTTGGTATGGAAAGGGATTAAATTGTTCTGTGTTCTCCCAGAAAGTTAATTTTTTATTTGGTATTATAGTGGACCTACGACGTGCGTTAAGAAGAGATAAAACCAGGCAAA